TAATATTATTACTTTTTTTTGTCTAGAATTTTAGTTCAAATCTGCCAGTTAAGATTTTGTTTGAAAAATTGCATCTTGCAGCACGAGTCTTGCAATGGACAAACAAAAACGTTCTCTAGTCTTGTCGATTGTTCATCACGACGAAACGCGTTGACTGGCGGACGTGGGACGACAACGACGTACTACAAGGAGTAGGGGGACGTAAGCCGCGGTCGGCGTGCTGCGGCTCAACGAGGCCAACGCTTTACGACGCAAAGCCTCATTTTTATTTTATTGTCTCCTTTGCCTCCTTATCCCTTTCACCTGGTTTGCCGCGGAGCGATGACTCCGTGGAGGAGGGGAGGGGAGTGGTGGAGGTGGTAAGTGGACGGCGCTGGGCAAGGCGTCGACCTGGAACGTCTCCAAACGCCACCCTGGTCGCTATCTCCCTGCTGATTGCTTCGTTAGGGCCGAACACGCCGCCGAGCGCTGCGGCGCCGTTCTCTGGGGGGCCGTCCCCGAACGAGCGCTGCGCGTTGTGTACGTGAGAGGGGCGAGGGGGTCAAACGACCGCAGTGAACGGTCACTTTTCGTTCCTCGTTACTTGTCTCTTTTAAAATCTCCCACCCTTTTGCTGACTAGTGAATTTCTCATATTATTTCTCACATCCATCCGCCTCCCGACCCGACCCGAGTTGTGATGTTTCCTTCCGCTTGTGGTCCTTCTAAGATGTCGCCGGTGCGCGCTTCGGCGGCCCGGTTGGGCTTGTGTTTCTACTAAACCCGACTGTCTCGTTCTACCCGAGTGTTCTACCAATTCATTTTATTAACTGGTTTCTTGTGACTATTTCCTCGGTGAGTGTTGGATCGGTTTTCATGAGTTTACCTATTACATGATTGCCAAAGTGGGGTTATGTTGCCCATGGTTCCCAGGTGTCTGAATGGAGTATTGTTTCTGCAGGGTCCTTTTATCCGGCCTTCTACTGTGATGCCATCTATTTATTTCGAGCATCATGCCTCAAGAATTTAGGCCTTTTTTATATTAGTTTTAAGAATTAGTTAATTGATCTGAAGTGTTGCAGTTAGCAACGAGATTTGAATATATTTGTCTTCGTGTTGAGACTACTTTGAGTTGAGCCTTGAGATTGGAGTTTTGAGATTTCTGTGAGATGTAGTGGAGGTTCTTATTTGAGCTATTGAGTCGATTTGTTTGAGCTTTTGCTCTCTACTTTTAGTTTTAAGTTTTGGTTGTTTGGCTTTGAGTTCAGTTTGCGTTGTTTGATGTAGAGCAGCATTTGTAATGAAGTTGGCGTCGAGATCTACTTATTGGATTCACTGTTTGAGTATGCGAAATATTTATTGAATGGTTCTTTGAACAGTATTTCTATTAAAGTTGTGCTTATTTTTAATTGTTCGTCTGGTGTTCGACCTTCAGTAGCCTGTTCCTTTGACGGTACTTTACAGTACCTGGCGCCCAACTTATTGTGAGTTTATTTAAAGTCAAAGAGTTAACCCTCACCCTCTCTACCACCTTGGTGTAGCCGGTGCCACCAGGTAGACATTCCAGTTATATATTTCTTGGTCAGTGATGAGGCTGCAGCAGGGCGCGTCCTTAAAAGCACTATACTTGTTAGAAGGGATTACCGCGCCATTCAAGAGAATTAGTTAAATGTCAGGCTGCACATGATGTGCGCGTTTTCAGTTTTGTTTCCAACTCTAACACTCCAACGTGTGCCACGCGGTGGCGGTGGCGCACCTTTCATGGTCCTCTCTCCTCTCTGACTTCCTGAGGAAACTCGTCCTCGTCGTAAAGTTGGCTGGTGTGTGTGGCTTTTCCATCCCGAACGTTTCTACGGGACGGGAGCAGCGCGTGGGGCGTACTATACCGCCGCATGTGAGCGGGTTAGGATGGTTAGGATCCCATGCCCCCCGCCCCCTCCCTCCTCTAACCGGAGTTAGGCCGGAGGAGGCGGTGGAGGGGTCGGGCTGAGCGGCCCGGAGGAGCTTCCGGCCCGAGTGAAGCGGACGGGCCTATCTGTTACCTGTCGGGCCCGCTCCGCCCCATAAATTGGGAATCGTCCCTTTCACGGGGGCCATTGACGCGCTCACACGCCCCCCCCCCCCCCCTTTTCCCCCACCATCTCTCTTCCTCTCACACAGCTGACTTAGGCCGTATCCCCCGCCCCCTCCCCGCGCCGCCCCACCCCTTGACTACGCGGGCCAGTTTGCGGGGCCGACAAACCCCCCCGACGTTAGTCTGCAGAATCTCACTACGGGGGATTTGGTGGTCCTAATGACCTGGTCGGTGCATCGGGTGGTTTAAATCAGGCTCAGGCTCGCGCTCGCACACACTACTTCTACCACCACTGTTGTGATTGCCAACGGAAAAGAAAATCGAAAAATATTTTGTTTTTTTTTGGTTGAACGAACGAAGGATTGCAACGAATTATCGCGTGTCACGTCTGTGCAAAGCAAATTAGAAAAGTCTGCGCGCAATCTCTTGATTTGAGAGGGGCAACAAACTCTGTGGTGGAGGGGTGCAGCAGCGGTGTGCGGTCTCGCTTTAAACTGTTCCTCCCGCTGTTCTGGACATCCCAACTCTAGCCTACCGTGTACCGCCCCCCCCTCCCCCCTCACACATACTCTGCCTCACTTCCCATCCTTCTCGGCCGCGCTGCTGATAGGGACAAACGCCCCGTGCCGGCGGCGCGAAGTTTTGGCCGTGTCGCCTCCTTGGCCCGCTGCTGGAGTCCAACTCGGAACGGTTCCAGCTCCAGCGGCCCGGGCCGGGCGAGGGGTGCTCCGCTGGGGCGGGGGCGGCGGCGGCGGTAGTGCGGTAGTTGTGCTGCCGTAAATTACACGCGAACCGAGGCGGCCCGAGGACGCCGTCAAAGTCCTGAACAGCGTCGGTAACGGCCGCGGGGCCCGCCGGGGCCTCAGGCCCGGGCGGCGCCAAATGGGAACCTGGACGCCGTCGCGGGACACGACTTGCGACGAGAGACGCCCCTGCTCTTACCCCCCCCCCCCCAAGGCGTCCGTGTGCCAAGGGGAGCAGTGGCAGTGCACAGGGCGCTGATGGCCTAATTGCACTTTAGCACCGTCGCGACGACTTCTTCTTCGCGTCGCCGTGCGCAGCAAGTAGTTCACGGGAAGAACTCGTCCTGGGATGGAATTGGGGGGGAGGCTTTCTCGGTGCAGAACTAAACATCTACATCTGGCTTTGACTGCACTTGTGATCTGGCAGAAGGGTGTAAGTCCAAAAAAAGCAACCTTTTTGGTTTGAAGGTATTTCTGCGGAAAAACTATATATTGT